CATATTTGATTGATAGCTTTGCTGGATAAAGGATTCTTGGTTGGCAATTTTTTTCTTGCAGGGTTTTATATTTGTCTCCCCATTGCTTTTTCACTTGCATGGTTCCTGCTGAGAGGTCTGAACTTAGTCTGACTTGCTTGCCCTTGTATGTGACCCCTCTGTTTTCTTTTGCTGCTTTCAGGAGCATCTCCTTGTCTTTGAGTTTGGAGAGCTTGACTATATGTATTGGTGATTTTCTTTTGGGGCCCACCCTTCCTGGACTTCGTTGGGCGTCTTGTATGTTTATTTTTTCGCTTTTGAGGATGTTAGAGAAATTTTCTTCCAGTAGTTCTTCAACTTTTTCCTCTGTGGACATGTGTGACTCTTTTTGTTCTGGAATGCCAATAATTCTTAGGTTATTCCTCTTCATGTTGTCTAACATGAATCTTAGACTTTCCTTTGAACTTTTTACCCTTTTTTGTGTTTGTTCTTTTATCTTAGTGGTATTGAGAGACTTGTCTTCCAGCTCACTGATTCTTCTTTCCATCAAATCTGTTGTACTCCTCTGCCCTTTCAAAGAATTTTCTATTTCTGCCATCTTGTTGTGGATTGTTTGGACCTCTTTCTGTAGGTTTTGGAATGTTACCAATGCTGTATCTATCTTGTTTGATTGTTCCTGCAGCGCTTTTCTAACTTCTTCCTTATTTTTCTCAACTCCATTGTAAAGTGTTTTGAAACATTTTATAATAATTTTTCTGAATTCTTTCTCAGGTATTTCCAAGTCCTGCCCTCCTTCCAGCATGGAGAGAAGGTCTACTTGTCTCAGATATTTTATCTTTTTTCTGGACATGTGCTGATATGGTCATCTGCTTTTGCTTCTTGGACATGTTTAATGTTTATCTGTGGCCCTTATAATTAATTAAGTATGTACTTTGGTTAATTTTTTATGTTTTCTGATTGCCTCCAGGAAGATGTGATCAGGATGTGGTCTTCCCTTTTCACTCTTCTTATTGCTTAACTCAGAGTAGCTCTTACAGGTGTTGTCTGTTTCCTTGGTTTATGGCAGCTGATATTGGTTCTTGCCTGGGTTTTGGTGTTTTATAAAATGTTATCGCAACTTGGCTATTTGGCAGCTGACTCTTTTCGTGTAATGTAGGGGGAAAAAGAGTCCTCCAATAGCAGAAGGGAGGCTGTGTGACAGCCCACAACACCAGTCTGGTAGAAAACAAAGCCAAAATCAAAAACAAAAGCGGAGTCTCTGATAACAGAAGGGAGGCGCTGGTGCCCAGTCAGGGAAGCGCCGGAAGTCTCCCAGGGCTCCTTCTTGACTTGGTGTGATGGCACCTTTCCTGCTGCGAGATGCAGACTCCAGTTCTGGCCCCTGTCTTGCAGGCCTCTACCATTGTGCCTTCTCGGGCTGGAACCTGGGCCTGGTCATAGTTTCTCTTCTTTGTTGGAAACTGGAATCAAAGACTGCGGGGAAGGGACGGGGAGGAGCTGCACACCTCAGCGAGATCCCCACCACCACCTCCACCCCCGCCCCAGATCTGAGGCGAGCATGTAGTCCTCGGGAACTCCCCCGGTTCACTTTTATTAGTTTGCTTTCAACTATAGTTTCCTCCTCCATTATCATTTTGTTTTAACTTTATTTTTTAGTATGTAGAATATCAATATGCTCTTAAAAATAGTAGCTCTACAAAAAGTTAGCCTCCATAATGTTTTCATTTGATTCCCACTTTATGAAGGAAAGATATATAACCAGCAGAATGGAATTTATTCTAACTGTGTTCAGTTTTGTTACTGTTACCTAAAATGAATCCCATATATTGGGATTAACATTGTAAAGTAACTTCACTTTTAGAAACATACCTTAGGCTCTGTGACTTAGATTCCTCGGGACAGTGATTCTCAATCATTTTTCCATTTCAGCACAGTGTCCTCAGTAACATTGAGTCAGTAACAAGAGGAGTTGTACTCTTCAGCTCATTTTGAGAGTGTGGCTGTAGGCCCCCTGAGAGCATGTAAGTTTCACAAATAACTAGTCAAAAAAAAATCAGGGAGCTCCTGTGATATAGAAGACCAGTGACTATGTCAAAAGGCAAACAAATCAAACAAACAAATAATTTAGTTCTAGATTATGGAATTTAAAAAAAAAATTTTTTTTACTGCCTTTATTGTACTCAAATGTACTTTCATTTGTTTGTAACCCAGAAAAACACCTATATAGAAATTCCATTGTTTATGATACTTTCAGCAGTCTATCTGAAAAGTCACACAACTAGATGATTTATGCCCATCCTGTATTTGCTATTTCTAATAATGTGTGTAGTAGGTGTACATCTTTAATCCAGGATAAAGTTGTGGCATACCAGGAAAGAGCTAAAGGTATCTTGAATGGAAGTGTTTTATATTGCTTTGTCTATTCTCTTTGCCTTAGCCTTAATACAGATACTGGCAGCTGCTGCAGCTGAACGAGATGTGGTTTATTTCACCTTTGGGGACTCAGAATTGATGAGAGACATTTACAGCATGCACACTTTCCTTACTGAGAGAAAACTGACTGTTGGTAAGTAGGAGATATTCTTGACACTTGGTATCTAGATGGATTGTGTATCATCCAGGAAGAGCACTTGTTAAGTCTGGATGGATCACAGTGAATCAGAAGACACAGAATGCTTGGCTCTGAGGGGGCAGTGTAAAGCTATGGAGGGTAAACATCAGCAGATGTTCATCTAGTGTGGTCAAGTTTCATCCAAGATCTTAAATGAGTATGTCAGCTTATTAAAATAAGGCAATGAAGATGGAGTTCTACTTTGGTGTACACAGAAAACAAAAAGGAGGAAGACTTACGAGGCCTCATTCTGAGTTATGGCGCCCTGGGGTGCTGTTGTAATCTCAGCATTGGATTGCTAACTACAGAGTTGGCCATTCAAACCAGCTGCTCCTTGAGAATCCTATACAGGGTCGCTAGGAGTCAGTCTTGTCAAGTCGGTTCTGACTCAGAGTGACCCTGTTAAAGGATTTCCAAGTAGTGGCTGGTTTGAACCGCCGACCTTGTTAGCAGTCCAGTGCTGATTCTGCAACACCACACCAGGGTTCTATAACTCAGGTGAGGCCTCTTAAGTCTTCCTGCTTGTTGTTTTTTGTTTTATTTAGCACATGCTAGATTAAGTGGCAGCAGCAATGGGCTAAACATTGGTTGGCACAGGATCAGACAGTGTTTTGTTCTGTTGTGCATAGGGTCTCTATGAATTGGTACCGACTCAAAAGCACATAACAACAACAGTTTCAATTAGAGGAGCACAGTGCTGGACTGCGAGCCACAAGGTCTGCAGTTTGAGCCCACCAGCTGCTCTGCAGGAGAAAGATGAGGCTTTCTGCTCCCGCAAAGATTGGCAGCTTTGGAAATCCTACACAGGGTCCCTATGAGTTGGAAGCAACTCGACGGCCCTTAACAACAACATTTAAGTTGAGATAAAACTGGAGAGTCTGCTTTCAGTTTTTTCCATCTGTACTTAAATATGCAAATTGATTTGCCTCTCCAGGAGAAGTATATAAGCTGTTACTACGATATTACAATGAAGAATGCAGAAACTGTTCAACTCCTGGACCAGAAATCAAGCTTTACCCATTCATATACCGTTGCGTTGACTCCTGTGCAGAGACCACCAACCAGCCTGGGAAAAGGACAGGGACCTAAGGATCAGAAGAATACTGTCTCCTTTCACCTCTTACTGGAAATATATGAATTGTCAGGTGTAATATAAACTGATTCAACTCCATATAAATGTATACATTATCCACATTTGTAGTCAAGGATGCAATTCCTTCTACATATATAGGATTTTCACTTTGTATATCTAAGCCCCGTCTATCCTGACTTATGAGGACGTAGGGTTATATTATGTTTCCATTATCTTCTATTTTAGTCATCATTCTTTGATTTTTCTTTCTTTTGCCCAACAGAGTTCATGTGAAATCACATGGAAGACTGTGCTTAGTCCAGTCAGGTCTCTCATTATTGCCTGCATATAATACCAGTTGCCTCTACAGTTAGCAGATGCCAGTGGTTCCAGGGAATGAATGAGTGGAAAGCCAAGAAGCCCTTTAACTAACTTTGCTGAGATTTGTACTGTGCACCATCCATCCCAACTCTTGTTGGTGATTGCATTGTTTGAATTTTTGAATTTTTTTAAATTAAGGGTTGGGCTTATTCTTTTCTTATTTTTCAACTTTTCATATCTGTTGTATAATGCAAATCTTCTATGTTAAAACAATTTTTTATTTAAAAAATAATTTCCAGAAATAGTCTTTTGAGACTCCACCTTTACGTACAATGGGTTGTCTGTCCTTTTTCCTCCATCAGTTTTTCATGATACTATTTTTGGGAACTGCCTAAGATGGAAGGAAATGTAGAATAAAAACGGATTTTCTGTATATGGTATAAAGAAAACAGATTTAAGAGATTTGAAGGGTTTTGTTTGTTTGACTTATTTTTCTTTTTTAGTTTAATGTTTGTTCTGTGGTGATCAAGGCATATTCATATAACCAAAGTGTGGGAACTGGGATCTTAACACTGATTTGTACATACTGATATTTCTCTGGTATTGAAAGATTATATAGTTAATAAATTTGTATTAACAAATCATTTTTCAGAAACTCCCATATCATCTATTTTATGTGTGTATAAATACATTTATATATATATATATTATATATATTTATATATATTCTTCAAGTGTATCTACATATAAGCACATAAAAGCTAAGTAACACTGGAGTGATCGAAAATGATTAGTTTTAGACTTTATCAGGGGCTCTGTTTAGTACTTTATTCAAAATTTGTTCATTCAAAACTGATAACAAGGTTAATGTGAAAGCGAGTAACAATTCTGTGTTAATTGAGAATCAAGTTTAATCAGAAAAGCGCTTACTCAGATTTCCAGAATAATCTTTAACATACTATTGAAATTTTTGTTTACAGTAAACCATCAGGAGTCAAACCCTATTAATAAAGAGCTTTGGTAGGTGCACCAAACTCTTTAGTATCAGTACTGACAGGGAAAAATGGAGCTTCGGTCAGTGTTTGTAGCTCTTTTGTTTGTGTAGAGAATGAGAGGATAAAGGGATTTGGTACTTAATGTCAGTTGCTTGTCATTGACAATTTATTTATGAAACTTAAGATTTTAAACCATCTTCCAAAGTACAAGAAGTCTGGCTTTATTTCTGCACTAAAGTCTTGCCATTGCTTCCCAGCTCATTCTGTGCTTTCATAAAGGGTTCGTTTCATTTCTCTTTTTTTTCCCCCATCCCCATATTCTTCTCTCTATTCAGTTTCAAGACTAAGTGAACAGTTCTTTAAAACAAACAGTGATTGAGAAATCATCCAGGTAAGACTACCCAATCTAATATTCCAGAACGTAGACTTGAATCTTGTTTCTGTAGTGACCACGCAATCTACTTAGCTGTCTGTCTTGCTGTTGAGGGATTTCCAGGAACCAAACCTAAGCATGGGCATCCTGTTAGGGCACTGTAGGATAAGCACTGGGCTATTAACTGCAAGGTCAGCAGTTCAGATCCACCAGCCACTTCTCAGACACCCTATACAGGGTCAGCATGAGTTGAAACCAACTGTTAAGTGGCACTTAACAACAGTAAGCACTGGACTGCTAATTGCAAGGTCACCAATTCCACTCCACCACCTGTTCTGTAAAGACTTAAAGCTTCAGAAATGCTCTACATTGTTCCTGTGTGTTAGAATTGACTTGAAGATAATGAGTTTGGTTACAGTTTCAGTTCTTTGTCCCAGTGTTTTGTGGGGCTGGGGCTGTTTAAACAGATGGAATATGAGGGGAACTAAAGTCAGTCTTGAGGAAGGTAGAGAGAACATGATTAGTTTCTCCTAAAGCGTTCTCTGGGAGAGGGAAAATCAGACATCTAAATAATATTTGTATTACTCTGAGATCTTTAATAGCACATTTTTATTCTCTTTCAGTTGAGATTTACTGTTTTATTTCTTTTTGTTTACACCCCACCCCACCCCCACCCCCGTTTAATAGCCTACTGAAGCATGAGAGGACATTTTTATGTCAAATTCTTAGATTTTTAATCTAGCTCACTTGCTTGTTACTCTGTGGTGCACTCAATTATTTGAAAATCCTGTGTTGTTTTGTGGAGAAAATGTGGAGTAATGGAAAGAGATGAGAGTTTAAATCAGAAAAGCTAGATCCAGATGCTAGTTAGCCACATGCCTTGCTAACATTTGGTCTTGTTTAAAAAAACTGAATTTCCAACCCTAGATTAACTATCTTAAAAATTAACTAGTAGCAGATAGTAAGAGGTCATCTGTATAGAGCACCAAACAAACATACACGGGATCTGGTACACAGTGCTCAGGAAAGGTCCACTACTATAGCCGATCACGAGCTAGCTGTGTGTGCTAGCTTATATGCTAGTTGCTTTACAAGCTTTAGTCCTTTCTTAGATGAGTTAACAAGTGCTTCAAGGTTAGGGCACACCATCTCAGCCTCCAAGAGTTCATTATGAAAGGAAACTTGTCATCTCGATTGGAATTGAGTACAAAAGCCCTGCCTGATCTCTTATTCTCTACAAGTTCCTGGTGCGGTTATTCTTAAGCATGAGGGACTAGCTATCAGCAGGGTATATTCAGTTGTCTCTGAGCGACTTATCTCTACTCTTGATGGCTGTGGTTAAGTGCCACTGAATTGATTCAAACTCATAGTGACCCTATATAGGTTTACAAGGAGTGGCTAGTGAGTTTGAACTGCCAACCTTGTAGTTCAAACTGACCTTGCAGTCCAGTGCTTTATCCCCTAGCACCACATCAGGACTCCACTCTTGTTGGCAGACATCCCTAAATCAGTATGTAAACACAAGGTTAAAAAAGGAAATCTAACCAAAATCCATATTTGTTGTACCAGCTACTTCTTAATAAATATGTATTGCTTTAGAAACCTAATATTGATTAAGCTGACCTACTCCAAAAATATATTAGGTCAAAGAATTTCTCTAGTCAGTCAGTGTAGTGTATCTGTCTGTGTATTCATGGCCTTTTTTTTTTTTTTTTTTTTAAATAGAAAGCCTCACTCTTGTATGGCCACATTACAATTTAGAAGATAATTACAATTTACAATTTAGAAGACATGTAGTTGATTCTTTCAAGCCTATGGCTTGAGGGGAAGGGTAGATTGCCGTTGCTGGAACTTGCTTTCAGAATCTTTAATCCTGTTCCTTTTTTGGGTGCTGCAAAGAGTTCTGCAATATGATGTTTACCAGAACTGCTAAAGTCCACTGAAACACCTGTATTCTACATTCCAGTAGTAGAATGTCCTTAGTTACTCCTCAGCAGATCCTCTAAGCCTTCAGAACGGAATGTTTTCCAGACAGATCAGGACAACTCAAACTGTATATGTTCAATCTGATACCTGGTTTTGTTTTTTCCTGTTTATTTTAAATGTTTCATAATGGTTTTGAAATAGGGGATAAGGAGAAATCCATGATAATGTCTACATAATTTTTTGTAGGAATACAATAAATTCTGATTTCCTTGTCACCATCCATTTTTTCCCCCAAACTATAATGCCACTTTTCCCTTGAAATTTCTTGTACATGCTCTCATTTTGAAAGTTTAGATTATGTCTTAGGGATATGGTGAAATTTTTTACACATGAATTTGTTGTTCTTCATTAGATGTTAGATGGGCATGTAGAAACAGTCACTAGTATGAAGAACTTTCTAAAGGTAAAGAGAATTTTGGCTGTATTAGTGTTTCTTCCCTGCCAGGTTTCTGAGGTCCTCCGGTGTTCATTCCCTTTTGTTAATTTTCAACTCAAGAGAGCTTGAATTAGGACCAGGGAGCATGTCCTGAAGATTCTGAGGACTACTATGCAACCCTTGGTCTCACAGGAGACTATCGTAGAAGCTACTACCCTGTCTGTCTCTCTTTTATTACATAGTCATAGACTATGGAAGGAGTGCCTTCTCTGGGCCACGTAACTGTCTACTTATTGGATGCACAGGTCAATGACGTGTCGCCTACCCTCAGCTCTAGCACCCACAAACAGCATTTTCTTGTTACTATTCGGTTCCACTTCAACCTAGAGGAACCAAATGAATTTTTATGCTCTCAATTTAGAAACGGAATGGACCCCTGCACAGACAATATCAATTCACAGCTTTCCTAACTCTTCTTTTGCAGTGTCCTGTGATGGCAAATTATGTAAGCAAATGGCCTAACTTACAGTAACATAGCATATGATACCTAGTATTAAAGCATTTCAAAATATGAAGATCTTATGGGGGAGAAGATTAGAGATCCTCGTGTCAGCACATTGTCTTTTCTTCTAAGGTTTGTAACAATAACCTATAAACTTGGATAATAATTTTCAGTACATGGGAAGAAGTATACTCACGGTAGACCTGCTAAGGGGCCTTGGTGGCATAGCGGGTTACGTGTTGGACTGCTCACTACAGATTCTTTTGATGTTCATCCCAGATTTATTTAATCTGTAAATCAGTATTTTTCTGTAATGCTTTTTACATAAAAATAATAGACAAGGGACTTCTGGTTAAAAAGAGTAGATCTACTTTTCACTATTTTTTATGCTGAGTACAGCTAAAAACCCAGGACACTATACATAAACAAACATCAGAATCTGAAGACGAAGAAAAGAAGGCGGACTGGTCAGAGACACTGGAAACCCAAAACTATCCAGTGATGAGTTCCCTGGGATTTCTTATTGCTTCATATATCCCAATCTGGTTATTGGAGAAGCTTCTTGTTTGGTTCCATTGAGCAATTACCAACTCATAATGACCCTAAGTACAACAGACCAAACACTGCCCAGTCCTGGGCTAACCTCACAATTGTTGCTAGGTGTGAGCCCCATTGCTGCCGTCACTGTGCTGTCCATCCATCTCGCTGGGGATCTTTCTTCCTCTCTTTCTCTGACCCTCCACTTCACCAAACATAATACCCTTGTCTAGTGACCAGTCCCTCCTGATAATATGACCCAAGTATG